TAATATTTCTCTTAATATTTCTCTTAATATTTCTCTTAATATTTCTCCTAATATTTATCTTAATATTTATCTTAATACTTATCTTAATATTTATCTTAATATTTCTCTTAAAAGACATTTTCATGCCTGTCTTTAAATTTAGGGATTTTATAAATGTCTTTCAAGTTTATAAATGTCCATAGATTTTTTTATAAAGACCTTTACATTTTTATAAATCTATTTATCTTCTAAACAGTGGAAAGACATTTTTATACATCTTTAAATCGATTCAGTTTGTAAATGTCTTTATAAATGCCTTTAACTTCATAAATGCCTTTAACTTTTTAAATGCCTTTAACTTTATAAATGCCTTTAACTTTATAAATGCCTTTAACTTTATAAATGCCTTTGTGTCTTTACCTTTGTGTTTTTCTTTAACTTTGTGTCTTTGACTTTGTAAATATCTTTATGTTTTTAAAAAGGTCTTTACCCTATAAACAGTGTAAAGACATTTTCACCTTTATTGAAATATATAAATACAAGTGTATTAAAAATAAGCACCAGGCACTTATTGGCATTTTAGGCAGGTTAATGGTAACAAATCTTTGTTTGTCCTGTTTTTTGCACCTTAAATGGAGGAGGAAAGGGCAGATTCATCCTTTATGTGTTTTTAGAGCTTGCACTTGATTGATCAATGTGATATTTTGTGTGTTTGAAAACACTGGTATTTTTGTTTTTCCTGCTTTAGAAAGAGGGAGGAGGAAAAGAAGAGGGAAGTGTTGAATAACCCCGTGAAAATGAAGAAAATCAAAGCTTTGGTAGGTGCTTCTCAGGGCTCCTTTGCACAGAACACACTGACCCAGGGGGAGGCTCAGAAATCAGAAGTTTTGCTGTTTAGCTGAGCTCTTTCCTGACCTAAACTCCTTAATTTTGAGAGGGGACCCTGTTGGGTGGCTCGGGTTTTGTTCCAGGAGCTTTTCCACAGAGAACTCCTTGATTTTTTTTTTTTTTTCCCTTGTGATTCTGAGCCCCTGAGGGGTGGGGGTGGTGCTAATGAATGACAAGGAAATGGGGTTTTGCTCTGCAGCTGCAGAACAGTTTGGATAAAAAGGAGAAGAAGAAGAAGAAAGAGAAGAAGAAGAAGCACAAGAAGCACCGAAGGCGCAGCTCCAGCAGCGACAGCTCCAGCAGTGAGGAGGAGAGAAGCAAAAATAAGTAAGTTTTGAGGTTTTGTGGCAAAAATACCTCGTTTCCTCTTTAAATGATTTGGTTTTCAAATCCTCTCTTCGAGTCTTTAATTGGCTTAAATGTTCCTGTGTTGTTACTTCGTTGGTTTTGCATCGTTAAAGTGCCATAAAAATAATTTAATGTTAAAAAAATGCCATATTCTTGCAGTTCATCTTCACCAAAAGGGACTGTTCTGTTTTCTCTGTAGGTCTCAGAAGAGGGTGGACAATTCCTCCTGGAAACCTGCTCCTTACAAAGTCCCAGGATATGGTTTGCAGGTATGTGTGTATCCCAATCCCAGTGCCCTGAGCGAGGGAAAACCAAAGAGTTTTGGGAGTTTGCTGCAAATCTACTGCACCAAGTGGAAGAGGATTATGAGGGGAACACGATTTAATAAGTTTTAGATTCAATCTGCAGCCATCTAAGCCTTGAAATTAAAATTATTCAGATCCTGGTGGGACTTTTGTCTGCTGAGAATTCGATTTAAGGTTTGTTTAGTTTCTCAGAGTGGGATGGTTTGGGTTGGAAGGGACCTTAAAATCATTTCATTCCAACCCCCCTGCCATGGGCAGGGACACCTTCCACGATCCCAGGTTGCTCCAAGCCCTGTCCAACCTGGCCTTGGGCACTTCCAGGGCTGGGGCAGCCCCAGCTTCTCTGGGAAATCCATTCCAACACCTCCCCACCCTCCCAGGGAGGAGTTTCTTCCCTTGTCTCTCCCAACACTCAGCTCGGCTGCCTTGTTTAGTTTTCTGAACATCAGACAGAAATAACATTTTAAGACACATTTTTTTTTAGGCAAGGGGTGAACAGGAACCTGGGGGAGGGACATAAATAAACCCCAACCCCACGTGCACCCCTCCCTGGCTGAGATCTGCTCTGGGGCCTTCCATTGTTCTCCTACAAGATCCTTCTGAATTGCAGGTGAGAGACTCGGAGCAGAGCCACAGGTCCCGGAGCTCCCCAGGGCCTGGCCAGGACAGGGCTCCCCACAGGCACCGGGATCGCTCCCGGAGCTCCTCCCGCTCCCCCCCGAGACATTCCAGCAAGAGGAACTCGGAGCAATCGGGCTCCAGGGGCTCGGGATCTCCTTCCAAACACAGCAAACAGTGAGTGTGGGTGACCTGGGTCGGGGGGGGGAAATTCCCTGGGATCAAAATCCCTCCTGTTCCATCTCCTGCCAGCTTTGTGTCCTGACATCAGTGCTGGGTGGAAAGGTGGGAAGGCAGGAGTTGTCCAGGAGAGGACAATCCCACTCTTCATTTGGGACACCCTCTCTAATCACACCCTTTGGCCATTGCTTGTGACTCTGCTTTATTTGGGCTACCAGTTCTCTTCAGGCTCATAATTTATAATTAAAATTCGTAACTTGTAAATTAGAATAGATACAGAAAAGATGTAGAATTTTGGTTTTTGAACTCAATATAAAATCAGGTGGCAGGTATTCATTGTTTGCTGATGAAATAATTAGAACTGAGTAAAAAAATAAATTTATGAAAAGTATATTAAGATTGATTAGAATTTGTTTGGGGGGTGGACAGGTAACAGCCCTGCAGCTGTGGGGGATGTCCTGGCTTCAGAATGTGCCAAGAAAGCCAGGGAATGTTCAGAAATGTGACAATCTGTGCTAACAAGGGTGTTTTTTTGGGTTGCAGGCACAGCAGTCGGGAGGAGAAGGGGAGAGCCAGGAGCCCTTCCCCAAAAAAGAGCTACCGGCGCCAGCACCCCTCGGGTTACACCAGGTGAGGGAGGCTGAGAAGCAGCCTGTGAACCAGGTTTGAACCACAGCAGAGCAGCTCAGGTGTCCAGAAAGTCAGACACAGAGTCCTCGAGGGCTCAGGGGTTGCTCCTGGGTTTGGCTGTTAGGTGACACCTTGGACACCTTCCCAAACCCATCCGTGTGGTCGCCGGTTCCTCCTGCCAGGCAGGAAGGAATGTGAGGTGTCTTTGTCCCCTGGGCTGTTTATTGGGAGGTTCTGTTTCGCTGCCATCAGGCAAGAAGGACCTCGACAGCATCATCTTACAGGTCAGTTAAACACAGGAGGGCTGAAAAGGGGGAGAAAAGAGGCTCTTGCTGGGCTGTGGTGAAGCTGAATATTTAGGTGTATGGAGCTGAATATTTAAAAGCTTTGTTGGTTGGCCACCAAAGAGAAAACCACGCTGAATACCCCTAATTTGGGGCTTTATAAGTCATCTTTGGTGGTTGGACTTGATGACCTTAAAGGTTTTTTCCAACCTTAACAATCCCATGGTCTTAAGGAATGGAAAACGAGGGGAACGGGGCCCGCTGTGCTGTTGGTTGACAGCAGTGGTGGTTTCTACCCAAACAGAAAACTCTCCCCAGAGGAACTGGAGCGTAAACGGCAGGAAATGATGGAAAATGCCAAGTGGAGGGAAGAGGAGAGAGCAAACAACCTCAGGAAACACAGGAAGGAGGAGGAGCTGGAGCGAGAGCTGGAGAAACTCGACGCCAGGGATGGAAAGTTCTTCCAGTGAGTCTTTTCCCTCCTTCTCATTCAGGGGAAATCCAGGCCACAGCTTCTGAGTGAGGGCCTCAAGCTTTGGGATGTTCCAGATCATGGTGTAGGATCCATCTCCACTGTGTTTTACTGTAGAACTGGTGACATCTGCTGTTCCCAAATTCTCCTCTTAGCCCAAAAGGTGCTTGTTTCTGTGATGGCCTTGACAGTCAGGCTCAGGAAACAGTAACCAGCTGTGTTTTGCCAACCTGTAGAAATACCAGGTGGTGTTTCACATGCAGATATTTAGAAATTCTCTGGTTTTAAGTCCTTGAAACACTCTTAGGCCTGCAAGTGCCTAAACACACTTAGTGGTAACTTAGCCCTTGTAGCCTTGGCAGGCAAAAGGATTTGGAGTGACACCTTCCAGAGGGTGCAAGAAAGATCCCATGGCAGTTTTATTCTGCAGGCTCTATAGATTAATCAGAGGAGAACAGGTTCTTAAGTGCAGATCACAGAACCACGAGATGATTTGGGTTGGGAGGGACCTTAAAGCCCATCCAGTGCCACCCCCTGCCACGGGCAGGGGCACCTTCCACTGGCCCAGGTTGCTCCAACGTGGCCTTGGACACTTCCAGGGATGAGGCAGCCACAGCTTCTCTGGGAATTCCATTCCAGCCCCTCACCACCCCTCAGAGGGAGGAATTTTTCCCCAGTATCCAATCTCTAATCTAAACCTCCTCTCTTCCAGTTTAAGAAGTCTGATTTCTTTCTCTGTTCCAATTCCCTGCAGCCGTTTAAAGCTGGAGAGTGCCTCCACCTCCACCCTGGAGGACCGTGTGAAGAGGAACATCCACTCCCTGCAGAGAACTCCTGCTGCCTTGGAAAAGAACTTTATGCAGAGATGAGGCTTGTTCTCCCTCTGCTCCTGTGCAGCAGTTAAATGGACTCTTTCTTGTTCCCAGAGGTGAGAGCCCTCCAGCACAGCCTCACTGCTCTCTCCAGGAACACTTCCCATCTCCCAGAGGTGCTGGATCTCTGTGCTGAGCCCAGGGTGTGCTCAGGACTGGGGGCACTGGGAACACTTTTGTTATGGGTGGGACCTTGGCTGGGGAACTCTTGAGCCTCTGTGGTCCGTTTTTAACATCTTGCCAGAGCTTTTCCTTCCTTCTCCCCACCCTGACTGGTGTCACTTTTGGATATTATTACCAAATTGTGCCAGGTGGCCACTGCTTCCTACTACTGAGCTCTTTATAGGCCAGAGCTAAACAGCTATTTTTATTAATCCTTAAAAATCAGAGCAGAACCAATTGACACATGAGCTAATTTCATGGAATTTGATAAATTCCATGGAGCCCTGTCCATCCTGTCACCATTTCAGGTGTGCAGGGTGTGATGTTAGGCCAGTCTCAGAGTATTCTGTGGCCATTATTTGGTTGCTCACAGATTTCACTGGTATTTGACCCAAAAGAAGCTGCTTCCAGGGGAAGGGAAATGAGCAGAGCGTAGCTGGGTACAGCAGACATTTCTCTGGGATTTTGTACTGTAAGTAATGTGTATATGTACAGCGGTGTAGATTTATTTTGTCTTTTTAATTAAGAAACTTCACTGTCATTTGTTAAAGCTTCTTTGGGGGGGTGAATTCGCTGCGGGGGGAAGGTTTGGTGAAGGTCTGAGAGGCTGTGGGAGCCTCTTTTCGGGTGTATCCATCCCTCAGGACCCTCCCGGTGCCACGAGGGGTCTGTCCCGGGGGGGTCTGTCCCGGGGGGTCCCCCCCCGGGGGCGGCCGCGCTCTGGGGGGGTCCCCCCCGGCGCGGGCCGCCGGCGGCGGCCCCCGCCCGCCGG